AACTGGCATCTCACTCATAAAATTAATGATGTTTTTGGTCTATATTTGTAGCTAGTGTAATGTAAAAAGCTATGACAGAAAGAGGGAGTGAGAAAAGGAAGGACGGGGGGAGAAAGAGAAAAAGAGGAGGAAGAGGAAGAAGAGGAGAAGGAAGAAGGAGGAGGAAGTGAAAGGAAGAGGAAGGAGGAGGGAGAAGGAAGAAGAAGAGGAGGAAGTACAAAAAAAGAAAAGGAAGTACTTTCCCATTGTGGTACATATTTTTCAAGACTCATCTAAGAGTTACTTGAAATTCTGCCGCATCCTTTGGGTTCAAGCCAGAGGATTCAGACTTTGGATGTTCCACTCCCACTGACAAGCCCATCTCTCTGGAGAAGATGAGATGAAACAGGATGTCTTAGCCTGACACTATTAAAACTATGATTTATCTACCTCTCTTTGTTCTGATTCCGTGCTCTTCAAGCAACCTTCTGATTATAATCCAGCTTCCAAGGGCTCTGGGAACACAGTGTGATGGCCAGGCTGATAAAAGTTTTGTAGCTTGCATAGGTTCTATTTTGCACTGTAAACTGATAAACTAACATGCTAGTCCATGCTATCAAATAATAAGCATTATTGTGTGGACCAACAGACATCTAATTATCTAGGAAGTAAAGGGGCAGAAATGTAGGTGGAGACAGAGAAATTCACCAGTCCACCCAGTGCCAGACTCAAGGGAGCTCCCTGTCATTGTGCAACTACTTTGTGGCATAGCAAGAGGGAGTGGCTTTGCTATGGACTCACAGGGAAGAGACAGCCAGTCATTTCCTCGATACAACAGAGGAGAGAGGACACCAGAAACATTCTATAAGCCAAGTTTGGGTTTTTTTACCTTTTTATAAACCTTACTTTTGGTTTAATTTGTTTTGCCAAACAAACATAGTGAAAACTTTGGCCTAATTATACAGAAAATAGAATTTGTAACCAGTAGCAAACATAACAGGATAAACTTAATCCCTGGAAGGCTGGATCTCCATCACCAGGTCACCCAGATCCCCTCATAAATGGCCTTCTGAGTAGGGAAGCCATAGGAGGCAGAGGCACATCTCAACCGGTCCCCATCAGAATTACAGACTCACCAGGAAAGGGTGAGCGTGAAAAGGAGGGGAACTGGTGATACTTGGATCTCTTATCACTACACACAGCTGAACTGACACTGATTGCTGGCCAACCTGAAAGTGTAGTTTTCACAAACTCATAGTCCCCAGCCAGCCCACCAGCATCCCTCTGAGGTGTTTCAAGTTCATGGTTTTGAAGCCTCTGCTTAGTCAGAATCTGCAACAGAGCAGGACGGGCAGATGAGTCATAACTGCTGGTGTCACCATTGCTGAGTTTGAGGCCCCAGATTCTCATTCAAGAAGAAACAAGTGAGTGTCAGATCCCCAGCAAGAGTTCAGCTACCTTAAGCCTCAGTGCTGTCAACCAGAGTATAGGAAATTCAGCATTGGCCTGAGGATTCCGCCAGCTGGAAAGGGTCCAGGAGTTCTGCAGGCCCCAGGGGAACCCATTCGCATTCTGTGCTTCTTATGGATGACAGCCATAGGAAGCAGATGATCCTTCTCATGAAGTTCTTCACACAATTTGGCCTCAGTGAGGTGCAGGTGATGAATGCTACCCTTTATCTCTTTCATCTTCACTTCTGTCAATGGCAGGATATCCTCCTGCTCATTCAGCTTGTGCAGGAGCTGCCCCTTAATGTCACTGGTGCATCAGAATAGGTCAGCAGGAGAAAAATACTGTCTCTGGTATCAAAAATTCTAGTCCCAGTTTTAATGCTTCCTGTGTTTTCACTTGATACTTTTTTACTGCTGCTCTTCATTCTTTTCCACATTTCATAGTGGAGACTCCTGCCAGCACACAGGAGGTGAGCCGCTCCCAGCACACAAGAGGAGGCTTCTAGGCCTCTGTACCACATTTCATAGCGGAGGATTGGTAAACCTTTTCATTAGCAGGAGAAAAATCCATATCCATTGATTTCTCCTCCAAAGGCATTCTAACGCATCAGATAGCTTGGCACTTTCATTCTCATGAATACTCTAGCCATGCAAAAACTCAATAGGACACAGATGAATCCAGTGAATAGAAGAAGAAAGCTACTGAGCTTTGGAATATTAGGTGCACTGGATTGGTCCAATATTATGAAACCTAAGCCTCCCCTTGTGAACAGGAACCTGGATTGCTAGTCCTTCCATGATATTGTCCATTTACTCTGTAAACCAAGAAAGCTACCATCCTCTGATGCCTGCGTCCATCCATAATGCAGCCAACACTTGATTGTTCAGCGATAACATAAAGTATTCCCGCTGTGATGAGAAAGTAGAACATCACCACCAAGGTGTACACCATCCTGACTGATGGCATGTGCACCCAGGGTAGCTTCTTCAGCTTCAGGATGGGACATTTGAGCACAAGGAATGGAACTCAGTATAAATTCTCCAAGTGGGTGGCAGCAGTGCTCTCTTAGTCCCCAATCCCCATGTGGCACCTGGAAGCTGGCCTGCTCTTTGATTTTGTTATCGGATGACCTCATTGGGTCTCAAATTTCAAATCTATGTTGCAAACTATCTTAGGGTTCATGCCATAGTAATTGTAAGTGTGCTGCCTAGGATCACACAGCCTTCTGTGTTATTGGTTTGTTCTACTTTTAAACCCTAGCTCCTCATTTGGCTACTGACTTGGTTACTTACTTAGTAAGCAACACTTTCAAATCTTTGAGGGGCAAAACAGAGGTAACCCACCAAGTCATGGTTCAGGTTAAATGAAATGATGTACAGTGCTCATTAAGCACTAAACCTAGAAGGTAAAGAGGGCTCAATACAATGTGTGATCAAAAATAGAGTGAATGTTTAATTTTTTTTAAATTATTACAGTAAAAGACACATTGCCATTAGTGACTCTCAAAATACTCCCTCTTGTTTCAGACACCCTCTTTCTATCATTCTTGCCACTTTCTGAAGCAGTTCTGGAAGTCCTCTGTCATGAATCTCTTTAGTGTACCGTTGTAGCTACCTTCACATGCTGAATCAATTCTAAGTGTTTACCTTCCATGGTCTTTTGACTTTGGGGAAAACCCAAAAGTTGCACAGTGCCAGAATACAGTGATTAAGGTGGATGAGGATGCACTGTCATGTTTTAATGAGTCTCACTTTCCATTGGATGGCAGTAGCAGCAGCATTCACCATATATATATATATATATATATATTTTTTTTTTTTTTTTTATCACACCTCACAAAGACATTCACAAAAGAGGACTTCCAGAATTGGTTCAGAAAGTGGCAATAATGATGCAATAAATGTGTTCAAAGTAAAGAGAAGACCTTTGAGGGAGATTAATGGCAATGTGTCTTTAATAAAAATTTTTTAATTTAAACATTCATTGTATATTTTTATCATCTCATAAATATTACCTATAGTAGTAAGAAAAAATTATCATTATAATGATTATTATTGTCAGACTATGGTGACTTGATATTGTGTCAACTTATTTGTCTTGGAGAACCTTGAAGACAGAGACGGACTTTATCTAAGAAGTTTAATCCTGGTATAAAGCCATCATCCTAAGACTTAAAAAATATTTCTTGAATAGCACATACATTGAACACCTTCACAAAGTTAAGAACCAATCCACAAATCACCACCACACCTTTCCCCCTGCCCTATTCCTTAAGATATCCCAAAAGCCCTCCAGAAGGAGGCAAACATCTCATCCCATGAAGCCCAGGCTAAGTTTATCTTCATCTACAACATACATGGGCTCTTTCGGAACACACCACTCCCTACTCTCTGTAATGTATTTCTCCAATGCTGCCACTACCTATGACACTCTGGAGCTTTACCCGTAGCAGACACATAACGCACTAGATGGTCATGTCTCCTCTTCTCTGTTGTTTCCACCGGTACCTCTGTTCTCCAAATTCTCATCTACTAAATTTCAAGGGTGAGTTGGGAATTGCAAAACATGGCAAAACATGGAGGCTTCTTTCGGCTATCAAAGTGTCCTGTGGGCTCTGTGATCTATTCAATTACCAACAAGCTACAGAGGAAAAGATTCATTAGAAACTAAACTGCAAGCACATGATATCAGCAATGATTTCCCCAAATCCTTCCAACAAAAGGCAATGGCTATGTGCATATTTGCACAATCATTAATAAAAGAGTTTTTGCCACAATATTTGTGAGAACTTTGTAACTAATAATCGGAATCTCAAAAAAGCTTCACAAGGAAAAAATTCACTAAGAATTCTCAGAGAAAATCCAGCAAGCTACAGATCAGAATTTTCTTATTAGTAAACAGCCTCATACTGAATAAAATTTAAATCAAATTAATAAGAAATTTTTTAAAAATACTGTTTCAGCCAGGAGTGGTGGGACACACCTGTAACTCCCAGCTATTAGGGAGGCTGAGGCAGGAGCATTGCAAGTTTAAGGCCAGCCTAAGTAACTTGGCAAGAACCTGTCTCAAGAGATTTCTTTTTAATTATTTTAAAATTTAGATCAGTGGTAAGGCACTTGCAAGGCCCTAGGTTCAGTCTCCAAAATCCTCACACACAAACACACACATACACATACACACACACACACAAACATAGGTTTATATGCATGAAGATTCTAAGTCTAACCTCTTTTCAGGCCCAAAAATGTCACCGACAATGATTCCAGCTTTAGTTCTATATCTTGTCCTAGAGGACTTTGATCAGGCAAAGGATGGCAAAAGAAACTAGATTAGTAAACCTAAATCTTTCAAGAAGCAAAGAGGAGATACTTTGCCTTCAAGAAGGAAAGTAAGCAGGAAATGGTGAATTTTCCTGGTTTTAAACTATTTAATTAAGCCTTAAACTAAAAAAGGAATAATGAGCTTTTTCTCCTCCGAAAGAAAAAATAGTAATCACTTTTGTGTTTGTAATGAAGCTTGTCCACTGAGCATCTTCTGTAAACGTTAAATAATGACCACATCACATCAAATATGAAAAACCCTTATTATTTATTAAATGGATCCCTGGCTCACAAGAAGCCTTTTGAATGAGATTCTCGAAGGACTGTATAAATGCTCTCTCATTATCATTCACCTTCATTTGAAAAGATAAGTATCTTCATCTCCATTTCAGAGTTAGGGGTTAACAGAAAGGTTAAACAAATTATATAAACTTATACCAAAAGTCTGAAAATGATAGAGACCAAAACTTGTTATCCCTTGAGGACTAAAAGCCTTTCTTTGAAAAATTAAGCAACTTACTTAATTATTTTTAGGAGTGTGTCTCACATAAATACAATATTTTATTCTGCACATGATGGTCTAGAAAGAGAAGTCACAAGATAATAACTGTGCTAAATTTTTTAAAAAGCCAGTGTGATTTCCAGAATCCTTTCTATTCTCTGTACCCACCCATGTGGCTGGAGATTTGAAATGCTATTTAAGTCTCATTTTCCTTCAGAAGCTAACCTCTGTGGAATAAAATGCTATAAAAGGGGGGGATCTTTTCTGTCATTTGACTTTAACTTATGATAAATTAGCTTCAACTAGTTTCTTAGAAAATTGCCCAAGAACTGACTACAGAAAATTAAATACCAAGACTTCAAAGAGGCAAACACACAGCCTTCAAATTCCAACCTCAGAAAATAATCTTCCCTTTCTCATGCTTCACAGAGATGTGAGTAAAGAAATCGTACTAGGGCATGGTAATGAACCATCTTGCAAATGACTTTCCTATCAATCTTCTTTTCAAGGGTAATAAAGTGATGATTATTTCTAGGCAGTTTCTGGGAAGTTATCATCTCATTTCAATAGTCACCAGTAAGAGACACACTACCACTACGGTGCTAACATTGATAGTGATGGGGCAGGAACTGGGTGAGAATTCAATAGCAAGTGTAGGTGGTTAAAAAGCTATTTCTTAGAAAATTAAAACAGAGAGAGATCAAAAGAACTGCATTAGGTCTTAAAGAATTGGTAATCATTTCCTTCGAGATTAAAAATGCAAATCTGATTTATTACCTAGCGAATGAATGAAACCTACTATCACTTGAAGGCTTGGGTATTTTTTTTAATGTACTGTTGAAAGTATATTAGGTGCCATGCTTTGTTCTAGATGCTGATGGCTGAACGCACAACACACCATAGCAGCGACATCTGTGTCATGACTTCTAGAACCGGAGTTTTCAGTCTCCTCTAAAATAACTGTCCCAACAACGAAAAGCTTTTAAAGTGCTGACTGAATGACTGCTGGGAAGTCTTAGTCACTAAGTACTTGTTTTGCAAAGGCATTTTTAAAAAGGCTCAGAAATACTCAACGCTGTATAGAAATTCATTCTTCAGAGCTGTAAGAAGCTTCAAGATAACAGGGACAAAAGTCACTCCAGGAACGTACAGGCTCACGGAAAGAAAATGTTATGGAATTCCCGGAATCCTGGCTCTTCTCTGGTCCAAAGATTCAGATCCCACCTGTGATGCAGGCTTTCCGCTTAGAAAAGGATTACACAGTTCCTCAGGCATTCCTAAAACTAGCCCTCACTATGTCTTATTTGCCCTGAATCTCCAATCCCAATCTGAACCCATTGTCTGGGCAGGTAGGACATGGGACACATCTCTAGATTTGACATTTGCTCACCCAAGTCAAATTTCTCAGCATTTATTAGATATCTAAACTTGAAATAAACAAAAGGACAAGTGGGACGTAGAGCTTTCTGAGGACAGAGTGTGCTCTGTTCACTGTTGCATCTTCAACAGTAACACAGTTCAGAAAAGGCACTTAATAAGTATCTGCTGAAGAAAAGTGACAGAATGAACTCTATTCCTTTGGGATCATGAATCACTCAAAGTTAAGAATGTCACATCATATGCAAGCAATCCCAAGGAACTTTGCCTAGCAGTTCATCTTGTTATTCTGCAGATTTATCTTAAAATTAAAAAGAGAAAAGCACACTGCAGGCAACTGAAATGAAATCGTATTCGCTTTCAAGTTCCATTCCAGGTAACAAGTACTGAGTCAATAAATTGATGGCTTTGGGTCTTGAGCTGAGTTCAAAAATAAATAAATAAATTGATGGCTTTGGTTTGGCTCTTGGACAGGCAAACTGCTTTCCATCATGTAACCCAGCACTGAAGTGAGTTTGAAAAATCTCTTATTGATTTATAGAATAGAATTAAGCTACCCCCAAAAAACTATTAACTTTTTTTCCTCATTACCAATCAAGAAATGACACAAATTTCCTGCTTCCCAGAAAAACCAAAGCAAAAAGGACAAAAAGTAACCCTCATATTGGCTCAAACTTAGAAGAATCAGGTGCAATTACTGGCCAACAAAATCTTTGGCTTTCCACCCCAGTATGTGACATTTTCCCTGAAGTATAACGTAAGAATGCAAGAGCAGAGGTTTAAGAGGAGGCTCAGAAGCGAGTCACCTAATGTAAAGTCAAAAGACAAAGGCAAGCTGAAAATTGTGGAAAAGGAAGGAAAAGAGAGGCAGGAGGAGAGGGGAAAGGATTCTCAGCCACCTCCCTTCCACTTGTTTGCAAAGCTCATGCCTGTTATGGGGTAGGGAGACCTCAACCACCCTAAACAGGGACAACTGGACCCTGACACATGCTCTCTAGGGCAGCTTCCAGGGACTCTTGCTTTGGGCCTTGGAAACCAATGACACAGCTTCAAGGTTGACTCAAGTGACTGAAACTCCACAGTGGATGGACACAAACACCTGCAAAACATGTTTTCAGCCTAACACCATGTCCTACCTCACAGATCAGAACACAAAGTAATTTACCCTATACTATTAGATGCAGGGCTTCAGAAAATGTGGGGCGTTATGGACAGTAATTTGGTCCACACTACAGTATTCCTGAGCTTAAGGGTAGGGAGCTCCTTCTTAATAACTTCCAGTTTTACTCCTTATTAAAATAAAATTTTAGAACAGAATGTATGAGCATTAGGTTTAGATGTCCCCTTTTCTTTCTTTCAGAGAAACCTGAAATTCCCTGCATCCTGTGATTTAATGACAACACTTAACGCCTCTCTATACCTCACCAGGATGATTTCTAGTGGTTAGCTGACTCAGGAGTGTGCTGTTATCTGTGGAAATACACCCTCATCCCATTGTTTTCCTGCTGTTACCTCTCAAAGTCTTATACTGCTGGACAAGAAAGAAGAGGAAGTCAAACAACCTTTTAATATACATATATATGTATAGACATAAGTACAATCTGTGGATAAGGTGGCAAATGACAACGGGGCTAAAGTCTGCACACACAGTGAGAAAATAAATTAAATTCACCCCCTGGTTCTTTAGTGCATAGGACTCTGCTCCAAGGGTTCCAAGTGCCCAAGAAAGGCAGTGAGGTATAAAGGAGCAGTACTGCCAGCTGACTCGCCCAAGGATCTTCCTGAGGAACTTGAGGATCCTCAGAGGTCAGTGTCTGTGTGAACCAGTTCACCACAGACCATCGAGTCTCTGGGCAGGGTGAGTCGTGAGGCCATCCTGACAGAGGGTCTGGTGTAATCAGCGTTACATCGATCAATCTATGTCACCATAGAGTTCCTGCCGGAGCAGGCACTGGGAGCAATTATCTTCCTGCCCCTCTCGTCTTTAGAGTCGTGTCTGATCTTCTGGGGAACTTTCACTTGTCAGATGCCCCTCTGCTGGTTGCACGTCCTTCTCAAGTCCAAAGTTGGAATTTATCCTTCTGGGGGAATAGTCATTTCTTTTTAAATCTGTAAGAAAGACAAAACAGTTTCAGGGGGGAACTCCAAGGACACGCTGATCACAAGGACTTCCAACTTCGCCAGGTCTCTGGAAGGTCTCTGCTGCTGGGGGCCACAGATCATGGTAACCAAACGCTGGACCATGTCCAAATGCATGCCTCACCCACCTCAGGGTGTACTCGTGGCCCTAACAGCCCCCTGACGTCAGAGCCACGGTTCATCACAGCAAGGAAAGAAAGATTCCAATGATTGCTGGGATCAACTTTTTTTCGACAAAAGCTGTTCCTCACGTTTGGCACCACCTAGAAGAGCTTCATGCGATTCTCAGACACAATGCTTCCTAAGCTCACCCTCTTCCATCCAAAAAGGAATACCCAAAAAAATCATAATGAATAGAGAAGAATATGGCAGAAAATATCCTCTAAATGTTTGTGCCCCTTTTTGTGCTGTGCTGAGTAAATTTGCTAGCCTTAAACATGTATTTCTAGGGAGCTGGGTGTGTCACTTAGTGGGAAAACTCATCCTTAGCATCTGTGGAGTCCTGGATTCAATCCTCAGGACCAAAGAGAAAAAAATGTATGTCTTGTTTTTTGTGTTTTTTGGTGCTGGGGATCGAACTCAGGACCTTGTGCTTTTGAGGCAAGCGACAGCACCACTGAGCTAAATCCCCGGCCCTATCTTGTGTTTTTTAATATTAAAGAAGATTCTCTAGACATAAAACTAATACATATTTTAATAATAACCAACATTTATTGAGCATATACAAATATTGCTTAATTTAATCTTCAGATTAACTCTCTGGTACAGATGTTATCAGCCCTGGTTCACAAATGGGAAAACTAATGCCTAAGGTCACATAGCTAGCACAAAGCAGAACTGGAACATGAGCCCAAGCTTCCTGGCTCTAGATGCCTTACTCTTATACATTGTCCTAAATGTTCTCTCTTAAAAAAAAAAAGAAAGAAAGAAAGAAAGAAAGAAAGAAAGAAAGAAAGAAGAAGAAGAAGAAGAAGAAGAAGAAGAAGAAGAAGAAGAAGAAGAAAGGAAGGAAGGAAGAAAGAAAGAGAGAGAAAGAAAGAAAGAAAGAAAGAAAGAAAGAAAGAAAGAAAGAAAGAAAGAAAGAAAAAAGCCATCTCTAATCTTGTTTTTGAAACTAAACATTTTACTTCCACTTAAGTGTTAGTCAGAATCTTAGGTTTGGAAAAGAAACATAGATTAGGTCTAAAGATGGAGGAATTACTGAATTGCTCATTCAAAACCCACCAGTGAATTATAAAATCATGATTTCAACCTTAGTCATGCAGAACAGCTAACTGAGCTTAAGAATCAGAAGCAGTGAGCTATGGATCAAGTACCCCTGGCTCCTGGATGATCAGATGCAGTGCTTTCTGTCTCCAGCAATAGAGGTTATCCCATGTAGGGTACACTAAATCAGGCTGAGAAGAGGTCAGTGCCCGAGGACACAGATAACCACTGGGACCCGCACCTGCCCCGGTGGGCTCACTCAGGGATTTGCTAGCGTCCACCTGTTACAGGGCCCTTGCCTGGAGGTCTGATGCTCCTTAGGTCAGCCCCAGCCCATTCCTGGAGTCCTTCTGACCAAAGAAGAGGCAGAAGGGCTGGGTGTGTGATTTGTGAGACGGACTCCCGGGTGGTTATTGGGGTAAGGACCCTTCCCTCTTTGTTCCATTTTGATCTCCCACGATATGGACACCACCACCCCTGGCTGATGTGCTGTATTCTCACTGGACCTGCAGACCTACTCCAAACCTAGTCTTTTGCTAAATCTTGCCCACAGAAGCTCCCCTGCCCTCTAATTCCAATTGCCCTTCACTGTTGTAAATTTTCGCCTGCTCCACCCCACATTACAATCAGGGTATAATTTTGGAGCTGCTGCTGTTGTTGTTGTTGTTGTTGTTGTTGTTGTTGTTGTTGTTGCTGCTGCTGCTGCTGAAGAGACAGGGTCTCAATATATTCCCCAGGCTGGCCCTGAACTCCTGGACTTGAGTGATCCTGCTGCCCCTCCAGTAGCTCGGATTACTGCACCTAGTTCAAAGGTATGATACCTTTTTATAAAGAAGGAAGAGCTACTCAGTTCATAATATGTGAAATTTCAGTGAAAGAGCAAGTTTGCTGTGACCTAGGAAGAGAGCAGGGAACCTGGAGCAGACATCAAGTGTCCCTCTGAGACAAAGGAAAGAATGTGACAGAGCAGGGGCTGCAGAGCTGGAAGCCAGAGACCTCCAGCTGTTTGCTTTTGTACTAGCGATAGTTTCCGTGGTGGTGACTGTATTGGTTGCAGAGAAAGTGTGCCACATTACCAGATTGGTTTTTTAAAAAATATTTCAATGTGGGACTCAAGAGGCAGAGTTTTTTGCTGGGGTGTAGCTTAGTGACAGAGAGCTTGTCTAACATCTGGAAGGCACGCAATCTCCAGCTCCACACATGTAAATAAATAAGTGTCAGATTTTCACAGTGAAAACCACTACTTTCACTGACAGGCTGTCGTTTCCCTCCTGTCTCACCCTGCCGAGTGTCCAATGGGCAAGTCAGAAATGTTATGGATACCATGTGTGGGTGCAAGCAGGTCTCGGAGGGGAGCAGCTGGGCCTCGGTCCGATCTACCCCATTCGAGTCAGTGGAACTTCTCTCTTCCAGTGACCGTGACAAGCATCAGGCCCCCCGTTGTTTCATCACATTTTGGCAGAACCTAAAGCAAATCCCTGTCCTTTTAATCCCCTTAGACTCTTAAAATTTTGCAGTCAGAAAGTCAGGCTCTGCGAATGACTGGGAATGAGATAAAAATGTGATTAAGATTTTCTACCAGGTTACAATGGATGTTGCTCTATGAGAGATTTACTTGGAGAAAAAGCAGAACTGTTTGTGGCATACCCGGGAGTTTGAGTTTCCGGCAGCAGGAGTTGCAACGATGTTTTGCAATGAAGTTTCTAATTGCATCTTCCCCTAAATTGGCTGGCCCAAACACCATTCCTCTTGATCTAGAGGAAAGAGCAGAATAACAATTAGATCACAAGTGAAAAAAAAAGGAGCTCGACTAGGATTCTCTGAGATACCGAACAGTATCCCGTAGTAACCCAGTAACTTGAAGGAGCCAACAAAGAACAGAGCCCTTTAGGGAAGCAACAATGTTAGGTTTGCAAATTTAAAATTCAAATGCACTTAAATCTTTGTACCCAACTCCAAAACCAACTGTGAAACTCAGTTCAACGCTAATCTGATAGAAGAGTGAATTTTCTATGTACCACATTTAACAAAATGCAGTGAAACCCTTTCTAATGCATATGGGGTGAGAGAATGACATTCACTACCAAATGCTCTACCAGAATACTGGAAAGGTAAGGTATAAAGTAAAGTAAACTCACTACTAGGGCACACCTAAGAAATGCATATACAGTGTATTGTTGCAGCCGCTGTACTTTTATTGAACTAACCATCCTCAAAAACAAACACCTGACTAAACCTGAAAGCTAGCATTTATGGCTTTTCTGAAAGCTTTCTTTTTTGTACCCTGAAAACTCTATAACAGGGCTGTTTGTAGTGAGACTATTAGACAATGTGTTTGTGGATATAAACCACATATGCTTGATGCAGGTGACAAAATTACAAGTGGAATCAGCATATATAAGGCACATTTCAAATACTCTATCATTATAATAGATCCCTGGCAGATTCTAGGTTCACTGTTCATCCGTTACGGCATCTTATACGGTACCATTCTTCAGATTCTGACACTCCACACATCACGGAACACAGCGCACCAGAAACACTTCTGAAGAAACTTTATGAAAGCTAATATTTTATTTTAATGACATGCAGAGTGGGAACAGCACATTTGAAAATCTGAACTCAATTACCACTCTTAAATACCACGTTTTAAGAAAAAAGCAAAGCAAACTATCACAAAAGGAAACAATAAACTTCGCTTTTAAGGAATGCGGTTTTTCAAAAGGGACATGGTGTAAAAATGGACTTTTTTCCATCCGAGTATTGAAACATTTATCTCAGTTTCCACTTCCTTTTGGCAGAAGAACAGTAGCTGCTCTGAAGATGTGCCAAGCTCAGAATGAGGGCTTATGTCAGTTTGATCTCGGATTGCCTCTTTGCTGTGTGGGGAGTAGGTGGAGGAAATCTCTTGGGAAGACAGAGTGGAAAGACACTCAGGATTAGCTTTCCTGGTCACTCTACGGCTCCTACAAAGGACAGCTCTGGTGGCATTTACCCGGCTGCATAAGCTGCCTCTTGTTACCACTGCCTCTCTCTCAGTCCATCTGGTAAGACACTACTTCAATAAGGTGAAATTGAAGGTGGCAAAAAAGTAGGCTCCCTCCATATTTAGACCAGAACTCTCCAATCCCAATAAAGTGAAAAATGAAAGTGTTACTTTAGTTGTTAACATGGAAGAATTCCTTCTTGTAGTCTTTCCAGCACAACCTTACTGGAATATTTCACTTGTTTGCATTTCATACCGCCCTTTCTTTCCTCCCAGGAAACCATGAAAATCCCCAGCTTAGAAATACAACCTTGATTCTCAGACAAAAACTGTAAGCTAAATCATTCCTCTCTATGAGCTCTGTGGAAGTTCAAAGGAGAAGGATGAAAGTCACTCCCAAATATATTTATCAAGGGTCAGACAACTCCCTGTGCAGGAGAGAGAAGGGGGTAAAAAACATTCATTTGCATCTACACCCTGCAGCATGCCTACACCCTTGCTGTCTCAGACAACCGTGTTTTTAAAAATAAATAAATAAAATACAACTAGCTGTTTTCCAGATTTTTCACAACACAGGAAAAGCAGGTGGTAGCTTGGTTCTACATGCAAGAAAACGCTAATTAGTGCCATCTATACATAGACTCACTAAAGAGCATCTCATCATCATTTCATTCTTGTCAAATGCCCAAAACCAGCAAGAGAGTAAGCTATAAAGATATAATCCCAAACCACCAATAAACAAGGCAGAAGGTTAGGCAAAGTTAAGAGACAACTGGCCAAGTTAAGAAACAACAGGCATCAGAAACAAAATTAGAATTTACACCCCCAAAACACCTTCTCTTTTGATACAGGGTTATTTCCTTACATTGATTTCTTATCCTTCCAGGGAAGTTATGATCTTCAGAGAGTCTGTTTTCTCATTTGTGAACTAGGATTGAAAATTCTTACTTCCCATGTTGTTGGTGAGGCTAAAATAAGTGACACACACAAGAGCACTGGCTTCTACTGGTTCTTCTCAAACTCTAATTTACATCAAATCATGAGAAGATAATGTGAAAATTCAGATTTTGGCTCGGTAGGTGCAGAGAGTATATGGAGAATCTGTATTTGTAAAAATCTCGACCCATGCAGGTATTGTTGGACCGTGGTCTACACTTGAGGTAGCAAGAGCCTCACACACAGAAGGTGTTCAAACACATGAGCCTCATTCAACTCATTAAACTGAACTGAACTAATTAGTCATGAGACAATTCTCATTATCATCACCATGAAAACCAACTGCACCCAAAATTGGGTGACCCTCACAAAATCAGGAAGGCCACAATGATATCTTCTATCAGTTTCCAGAATCCTAAACTCAGTTCATAAAAAATAAGGTTGCCATAAGATGGAAACGCTGGAGTTCTCAACTCTGATTGTCCATAGAATCACATGGGAGAACTTTTACAAAAATATAAACATCAGGACCCTATCTGCAGAAATTCTAATTGGAGGTCAATCTTGAGCATTTTTTTTTAATTCCCCAGGTGACCCTAACAGAAACTAAGACTTACTGCCTATAGATTGCAATTAAATATGTAGTTGTCAAGAGACATTATATAATCTTAGAATCCAGGAAGATGATATTCAGGTCAATTAAGTGATATATGCCAAGGTCTAAATTTAATGAATGATAGACAAGAGTACACATAAACTTGGTCCATCATATATTCAAAATTTTTTCACTGAAAAACTATAAAGTACTCAGAACAAGGCTCCTACTAGAAACCCTTGAGTACATGAGGCTACTGAGGAAATAATATTCTTAATTGAAAATACACTACCTGTGCCAAAGCAAAAAATAATAGTGTTTATGTTTACCCTAAGGATTATAACATAGACTTTATAGTCAAACAAACATCATAGGAACTAGACGATACACACAAGTAATATGGGTCACCTTACTCTTCTCTTGTTCATCCATGCCAATCAAATATCTAATACCCTCTTACTAAATGTATCTCTCTCCTGTATCAAAGCCTAAGGACGGCTCATGAAAAGAAGAAAACATTTGAGCGGTGAATAGCTATAAAATGAGTTCTGGGGGAGAAAAAGTAAAATTTTCAGGTTCTACTGTGTCAGGATTGTCCATTTATGTAGTTTTATATATGAATTTTACCACCCAGGGGCCAAGTATATATAGAATTTAAGATGACTAGAAAGTAGCAATGATATATGTGAGCATTTCTCAAAGTAGTCTCAGGACCAACAGCCTCAGAATTTCCTAGGACCTTGTTAAGAATGCACATTATTTGCCCTCCTCCAAACTACTGCATCAGAAACTCTGGGGGTGGAGCAGTCCATGTTTAACAAGCTCTCCTGGTGATCATGGTGCAGACTTGCATTTGAGAACCACAGCTATCTGCCACGTTGCTCAGTCCTCAGCTGGCATCATCACTGCTTTGGATTTTACCTTTGACAGAACAACACAACCTTGGACTCTTTAGGGTTTTTTGTTTTGGGGGTTGTTTTTTTTTGGTACCAAGGATCGAACTTGGGACCTTGTGCTTATGAGGCAGGCAGCAGAACCACTGAGCTAAATCCCCGGCCAACTTTGGCCCCTTTAGCAGCAAGTCTTTCACAAAGCCTGCTGGTGGGACAAAATGCCCTTGGGAATTCAAAAGACAGTAGATGACTCAATCCTCTATATAACTGTGGCACTAGATTAAATCACACAACCTGGTAGTTCATATGTAAGCCTGTTGCTTTGACCTCTTATAGCTTTGCTGTGTATTAGTACACTTTACATCCTCAGCTTTCATTTTGTAAGCATGTGATGAAAGATGCTGCCTAGGCTAAGAGGCAATGATTCCATTGTGAAGACAACAAAGGAAGCTGCTTCCCCTAAGACATTAATTGCTTTCATACCAAAGCTTGTAGAAGCTAAACATATGCATATTTCTCTTGTTGTCTGGGCCCCTCTAGAAAACAGTCAAATTTGGCTTTTATTTATAATTTCCATTCATGTAGTTCAACCCAACTCCAGATTTAATCTTATTTTGTTTCCATATTTTTCTTTCTACCTTCATTTCATAATCTATGCTCTTTTAAAAATCTTATTGTTTCAGATCAATGTACAAAACAGCCTCAAAGCCTTTCTAGGATTTCAGCAAAAGCCTGTTTATAAATTATTTTTTAAATATGCCACTTAAACATTATGCAACGTACATATATATAGAAACATTACATGGCACCCCATTAATATGTACAAGTCTATGCTTTTAGGTTTTGAAAAATAAATCTTAAAAACATGTAGAAGTCAAGGGGAATTATTTAAATAATAGCACATAAGTGGTCTTACTGTTTGTCTTCAGGTTTTATAACAGATGGATCTGTCAGATTTTCTCCAACACCTCAAAGAAAGAAACAAAATTCATTTAGCAACGGGAGTTTCATTTTCATAGAAATTCAAGAAAATAATAGCAAAATCTTACTGTTTTTAAGTTTACATTTACTTTGTAGTAAATCAAAGATTGTATGAATTGAATGTACTATAAAAAATGTCCAGGAATGTTTGGAAATTTTAAATAATGCACTGACTTCCTCAACCCTCTGTTATAATAAAATTGTAGGAGGTCACAAACAAATGTTTTAGGGGTGTGGTCAGTTACTGACAGTGACATATGCCATTCATTTGCTGCTGGTATATACTGTATTACACTCTAATTTTACTTTCCCTAGTGCTAAGCAATTGTAAAATATTGAAAAATATTATCCTCATTTTACAGTTTGGGTTTGTTTGTTTGTTTGTTGTTTTCAGACAGGGTCTCCTTATGTAGTTCAGGCTGGACTTGAACTCACTATGTAGCCCAGGCTGGCTTCAAACTCATAGTGATCCTCCTTCCTCAGCCACTTGAATGCTGGGATTATAAGGTGTGCAGCACAATGACTGACTCGTTTTACATTTTATCCTCATTTGACATCAGTGAGTACAGTGATGTTCAAAGAGATAAAGTAACTTGTCAGAGGTTGCCCCGTCCACAGTGGTCAGAGCAGGAACAAGCTGGGTCCACAGCCCCTCTGCAGGGTTCATCCATGCTCAGCAAGCACTGTATGGTTTTGCAGGGACCAACAAAGAGAGACACCAAAAGCTACATATACGGTACTTATAAACTGCCAAGTAAAAACAACCCCAATTCTTGACCTAGGTGCTGGTTGGGGAGATTCCTTGAGATGTACACTTATGCTACATGCACTTTTCTGAATGCATGAGTCCTCGACACAATTTACTTTGTAAAAGGCAACACCAAAGCCTAAAAGGATGACATAAATGCAATTTAAAGCTTAAACTTACCAAAACAGGGACCAACACCTAAAGTGAATCTCTATTATAAAATGCAAGTGGTGAGGAGTCTGTTCAAAGGTGGTGCCATTTCAGACAGTTGAGTGAAGGGAGAGTTGGGAAAAACCCAACAACTTCTCAGCTCAGTCTAACATCACTTGTTCTCTTAGCTTAAAAGAGACTACCCTTGCAGGAAGATTATTCCAAAAGTATGTGAATTTTTAACATTATTATGTGTCTCTACTTATAAGAAAATATTCATATTTAATAACAACTATTTTGAAAAGTTTTTTATGTGTTCTGAAGAAAATAAACTCCTTACGGACTTTTCGCCTAAGAAACAAATTTCCCTAGGAAAGTAACTTAGAGCACCTTAGAGCTTGGAGTAGGAATATTCAACTTTTTTTTTTTTTTTTTGCTATGACTTTCTTTGCCACTCTTCTCATAATACTGTTTTAATATACATAATTTAAATATATAGGACTATGAAGAAAATCAATGATACTGAAATACAGTTACATAACAATACTTTTTAAATGGCTATATGGCTATACTGTAATAATACATTAAATAACATGATCTAGCCCAGGTCTCTTAACTACTGTAACATCCAACAAGTGACAAACATGAACAGTATTGTGAGGTATCTGCCAACATTCCAATGTGCTATATTAATATCTATAATATCTGTTACAAACAGTCACAGGTACTATTAATATCACTGAAGTTTGTAGTCTATGTCATAATTGAAGAAAATGATGAGTTTAAGTTACAGGTCAGTTAAAGTATAATTTATTTTATCGGGCTGGGGATTTAGCTCAGTGGTTCCGCTGCCTGCCTCACAAGCATAAGGTCCTGAGTTCGATCCCCAGTACCAAAGGAAAAAAAAAAAAAACAAATTTATTTTATCATCAAAATCCACAGACACTGAATTCTACTCACAAACACTTTACTAATTCTTGGCTTAGAAATTCTTCACACTGGTTTTGAATAGGGAAAGAAAAAGCAAAGCTTAACATAGCATAAGCAAGGTCCACAAAACATGCTCTGCCACCAAGTACATAAGAAAGTACAAAAGAAAAAAATAAATAAACTGGACTTCATAAAAGTTTAAAAGTTTTTTGCATCAAAAGGCATTAACAAGAGATAAAAAAGGCAACTCACAGAATGAGAGAAAATATTAGCAAACCACGTATCCAGAAAAGGATTAAAATCTTGAATTTATACAGAATTCCTAAAACTTAACAGCAAAAACCCAAACAACCCAACTTCCTTAGATATTTCTCCAAATAAGATATACAATAAGCTCTTGGAAAGATGCTCAGCATCACTAATAATTAGAGTAATGCAAATCAAAACTACAATGAGATACCATCTTAGGATAACTGCAATTTTTAAAAATGCTTTGCTCACCTTAAGTCACAGGAGCAGACTGGATTCTTTACGCTTTTTTCATCATAATATAAAAAGGATCAGCTTAGAGGGACCCTGCCTTTCTAACCATCCACCAAATAAACAGGACAACAGACAGAAGGATATCCCAAATACTATCTCTAGAGAGAATGATGACTACAGATCCTTTACTCGTTGAATCATAGACCTAATTTTAAGTCTGCAGTTTACAACAATAATGAAAGCTTTAGGGTAATGGATTAGGAAGGTATTACAGTACATTTAAGCTAGGAATATATACAGTGGCTAAGGAAGTAATATTAATTGGGAAAAGGAAAGTTTTGCGGGGGAAAAACAGTCTATGAAAATCACATCAGTTCCTGTTTATTTTAAATAAAGACAGAGAAGGATAAAGAGATCCATCACTTTCTAGGTGTGATCTGAATAGTTTCCTTAACCTCTCTGAAACCCAGTTTTGTCATCTGGAAATGAGTGACATAATGAACCTTATCTTATAGCACTACTGTGAGGATTAAATGAGTTATTACACACACACGCACGCACGCACACACATGAACACACACCGCTTAGAAAAATGACCGTAGAGAACCTAGGAAATGTTAACTGCCATTTTTCATTTTTGTTATCTTCATTCTATCAAGGGCCTCTTGTGAAGTGAAATTTTATTTTCCTACTACTGTAAAATCATGTTTCTGTTTATCTCATCTCCCTAAAGTACTTAGAAGAATGAAAGTTGGGGGTGTAGCCCAGTTGCAAAATGCTTGCCTGTGTGAGGCCCTGGATTTGGTCCCCAGTTCTGAAAAAAAAAGGAAGAAGAAGGAGAAAGAGGAGAAAGAAGAGGAAGAGGAGGAGGAGGGTAAAGAATACACACAAACCACATCTAACAGTTCAAAGCTTAAATATTAAATTCTCATTTCAGCTCTCTCAAATGGAAGGAGGGCCTTCCAAAGTGTGTGTGTGTGTGTGTGTGTGTGTGTGTGTATGTGAGAGAGACAGAAACAGACAGGTACAGACACAGACACAGACACAAACACACAGAGAGAGGGAGAGAGTAAATGCCCATATCCAGGCAATATGAAAAAATTCAGAGATGTATATTCTGTTCTTATTCAACTTGGGATCCATCAATGAACTTCTACATCTGTGCAAAGAAGTTACCTTCTTTGTAGCAGCAGAATTCATGATGATGAAGTGGATCTTAATGATGACTTATCCTGGAAATTGCTTTGTGAATAAAAAAATAATACTGTATCTGCAAAAGTCCTTTGAAAAATATGAGCTTAAAAGAAATGTTACATGCCACTATAATTTGAAATACAATTGTTTTTAATTTCCATTTCTGGGAATTAAATGTTGGATTTCAAGCGTAATGATGATGATTCAGGGCATCACATGTAAGATTTTTAAGTGGAAAAAGACCAGAAAACTTCAATATAATTACAAGTGATGGGAAATTGGTCACGGCACTCCTTAGAGTTCAGCTTCCTGGCCTGGTGTGGCAGTTCCTGGGTTAATGTCTGGCATCCTCTTGGAAGAAAACAGAGAGAGAAGAGAAAAAGGAACTGAAAAAAGACTGTCTGAGCTTTCCTCACTCCCTCTTCCCATGAAAGCAGGGGGAGCAGAGGCCCAAGCTGGGGTCTCCCTGCAGGACCACACAGTGAGGGTAGACTCCCCGCACTTGAAGACTGACCTCCATTTTAAAGAGACACACAGAGATTCACACTAACACAACAATAACTAATATTTACTAGGGCTAACTATATGCAAAAAAAAAACAACTTGTCTCTGTTCAGCTTTTTAACCTAATGTCTTAAGTGCATAATATTGTGCGAAGCACATCACCTCTCCAACCACTACAAATACAAATAAATTAAATACAACATAAAACTGAACCTAAACTCATTAAGAGATTTTTTTAAATACCTCCTATTTTCCCATTTTTCCTTTCCAACCTTATTTGGATTAAATATGACAATGCACACTATCCTTTAGCCAAATGCCTAGCTATTTTGCCTTTAGCCAAAATAAGTACAGTGGGACCTTGGTTCACAAACTCAGTTCTTTCCAAGTGGAATGAATCCTGAGATCAGAATCACAGAAAGAATTAAGTTCAGGGACCAAGGTACCTCCGTGATTAGTAAATGTTAACTACTAGGGCTAGTGGTAGTATAACTGTTCATAATTATTATTATAAGGTTCATGTTTTACCATAAATTCAGGCCCAACCAACTAGCCAAATCTCTCTGATAAGTACCTCAAATTTCATCATGTTCATTCTATGATGTCCACTCTTCCCTTCTTTGAAGGTCAATATTTTGACGTAATTTATTTTGAGTAGCCTATTTCTGCAATCCACATAATTGCTCAGAAAAAGAATAAAGTTAATTCATTTTCCCCCAAGACTCTCAGTGCAGCATTTGTTCTGTTTAATGTCACTTTGGATTACTAAGAGACATAAAAATCCCCAAACATAAATATCATTAAACAAAAACCTATTCAAGTGGAATACAAAACACACTGAAGAGTCATCATTAATTCCTTAACGTTTTTCTTTGATTGTTTTGTTGTTTCTGTTTTTCGCTTTTTAAACAACTCCACCCCAAACTGAAAGCACAAACAGTCAAGTACAGATGAAAGCAATCAGTCTTCTCCAACTGCAGCTACAAAAACAGATGCCTTCAGGATCCACACTCAGGGTTGATATGGATCCAGTCTTTGCTGACTTAAAAAGCTGAATCACGTTGGTTGATTCAATTTTGTTTATATTGCTTCCTAAAATATTGTGTTTGAGGGTTAGAAATATAATCCAACCCTGTGAACAACAGAAATCTCAAAGGACATAGCATGTACATGTAGTTTAAAAAGTACATATGGTATATATCCTTGAGCATATGACAAATTTCAAAGTGATTTTGAATCTTCCTGGACATTGCCCTTGATGTCCCAAGACTGTCTATCTCAACATTCCCTAACCTCCAGTCCTGACTTTCAGCATAGAATCCCAGAACTGGAGAGCTGAGCCAGTCAAAGAGGACAAGAAAAAAGGCCAAGTTGTTTTAATGAGCCATAAGATGGTTGTGTCCTCTAGGTATGAAACTCTTATGGAAATGAAAGACGGTACATTGAAAAGAAAAGAACATAGCTAGCCAAACCAGCTTATGTCTGTCTCCTGGCTCTGTGTTAAGTAGCTGTGCACCCCTGGGCAGCTTAGTTAAACTTTCTAGGCCTAAATTCTCCAGAATATCTTCCTCAAGGTGTGGTTTCTGGGATTAAATGAGATAACTTCTATGAAAGTTCCTGGGCTAAATCCCTTATTTCAAACCAAAGCCAGTCAGTGAGCCCAAGGACTCAACTTTAACCTTAATACATATTTTGTTCTGTCCCTGCAAGGAAATCCTTCTGGAGATACTCTGTGCTGCAGGATTATAAGTCACATGGTAGGTATACCAGTAGTGGGGCGATGCACTGATCAAAGGCTTTCATTAAGTAGGAATGTGTCACCTCTCTCAGACAGAATGTGTACTTTCATGAACTGTCATGGCAAGGGACACATCAAAGAGGGCAAGCTAAATTATAAATGGCTAAAGCAATAAACTCAAAATCACAGAAAATATCCAGAATTTAAACTTTCCTATTTGTATATATGTATGCCTAAGTTTTATTGTGAACATAAGATTGAGGCAAAGCCAGGAAGTGTAAAAAAATATTGGTACAAAAATCATTCTCCATGTAGTTGAACATTTTAGATGTTTTTAAACTTTAATCATCTGCATATATCTCTCCCTCAACTGAGAAGGAAACAACATAGCAGGTACTTGTGATCATTAGTATACAATGTCTCTGTTCTGAATGTCTCCACCTCCCTTCAAAGCAAAACAGAACAACTCTATATATTGCCATCCTGGTTCTTGCAAGATCTCTTTGAACTTTGCCTCATGCTTGTGTCAAGTCCTATGTCATCAATTACCTTGCAAATCTAAAACCAGCAGTTCTCCCCTCGTATACTCATAGGTCCAATGAGAGAAAGCCAACATCAGCTCTTCCAAGGTGTTGCTGGGGGCAATTTCATCTCCATTGTTGTTGTTGTACTTCCGGAACTCCCCCGTCATATACTTCTCAATGGTCAACCACTGGTTAGCTGAATGGCAGTAGATTAAGAAAACTTCCAGGAACCTTGAGTGAAACAGAGGCCATTGATCCTTCTCATGACAGCAAATGTGGTACTTGCCTTACAGAACAGTCAGCAACAAGACAGACCACCTAACTCTGACCCTACATTTCCCTGATGCATTTACCCATCCTATGAGAAGGAGTGAATATATAGGAAGAGTTTTTCCCATGCTTACTCTCCCCGCTTCTCTTTGAGAAAACTTTCCAACTCTTTTATGAGTACTGGACCCTACTTTTCTTGCCATGCTTTATAAAGTTTCTTGTAAATAAAATAATAAAGCTTCCTCTAAGTCCTCAGCACCAAAGTATGATCTGCCTTGACAAATGAACGTGTACGGAAACACCCAAGTGAAAGAAAGAAGAGCTCATTCTTAAAAAGTTTCCAATTTCTTTAAAATACTAATGTTGGGGTGGGTGTTTAAAATAAAAATATAAAAATATTCTCTGCCAGAATATTCTCTCCCAAGGTCTGTCTGTTTGGCAAAATTGAAATATCAGTCATGGCATCCACCTGGGCTTTATCCAATCATATAAGTTCAATAATTTAAGCCAAGGTACCTCTGGGACATCTAATTCCCTTTTTATCAGTCTCTATAACTATGGAAGGAAGACCCCAAAATAAGATCATCAATAACTTTCCCATGGGTCTTATATTCCTCATGACTAATGGGCTGAGAAAGTTTAATAGGAATTTCTACTTAAAACGAAAAGCCAGATTGCCAAGATTTCCTTACCGCGGTGTGTAAGGAATGGTTTGTGGTTTCACGTGGTTGAAGGTATAGATTAGCTTTTGAGCAGCTCTTTGTTGTTGAATTTCCTACAAAGTGAAGAGCACCAATAAAAGTATTGGTTGAGTAACACATACTTAACAATTACTGAAGGTTGCCTTAATGTGGTTTTTATCTTTATTTGGCTTCCACCACTCCCTACTCCAAAACCATAGGTCCTACAGAACAAAAAATAACAAAACCCATCTTCAAATCATAATTAAATATCATGGTCTTGGATAAAGATATAGCCAAATCTCCTTTCTTGGACTGTCCATTTGGGCTCTGGGTCTCTGAGTTCCTGGCTTACCCGAAGGCAAAGATGAAGCACCGTACTCTCCTGGAAGATTTCATGCCAAGTCTGCACCACCTCAGGGAGAAAGGACTTCACAATGAAAACCTGTCCTGGCTTAAGAACGTCGTCCTCGGACCAAGTGCTGATGACTCTCATGGCTTTTCGGAGGCCTCCGTCTATTTCCTCTTGGGACAGCACCTGGATCATCGCAGCTCTCCCATGCTGGGACCAAGAGGACATGCTTTTGTCAAGGTTCAAAGGGGAGCTCTCCTCCAGCCTGTAGATAGTCACTTCTTCTCCCGCTGCAGAAGGAAGTGAAGGCGTGGAGGTCAGTGAGATCAGCAGGCCTGGGATGGGGAAGACCTGATTATGTGCTCCAAATAAATTCAGTTGTCTCCAAGATCAGAGGAGAATGGAACTATCAGGGACTAGAGCAAAATACACGGATCATGATATTTAATATCTAGTAAAGGTAGAGAGAGGCTAAAGAGATGAAGTATTAGACGGCATCCAAGAATTAAATTATTCCTACAATTGATTGTACCTGGACAAAAACAATATCAAAACAAAAAGGAAATGACTCTTTTGTTAAAGGTAAATATTTCTAAGAAGACAAATTAACCTAGAGTTATGCAGTACCATCCCCCTAATGAGCCTTATTAGGCATTTTTTCTAAATGCTCTTCCCATGACATATTCATATTAAAAATATCCTATATAGGATGCTGAATCACCCCGCTGCAGACAGGCAGGTCTCTGCAAGCCTTACTGAAATCCTGAGTCGCACAGAACATGCTGAATCAGCCAGCTGCAGACAGGCAGGTCTGCCCACACCCTACCAAGGTCCCGAGTCATGTGGAAGATGCTGAATCACCCCACTGCAGACAGGCAGCCACCTGGTTCCACACTACAAAGATGCAGAGGACATCAGACCACCAGACCAAGGTACTGAGTCCCACTGTTCCCAGCCCAGAGGTAGGGGCTTCTGAGCCACCTTCCCACTGCTCCTGGTCCAGAGGAAGGGGCTTCCTGGTCACCATCCCTCCTGCTGCTCCCAGCCCAGAGGAAAGGGCTTTTGGGCCACCTTCTGTCTCACTGCTCCTGGCCCAGAGGTAGGGGCTTCTGAGCCACCATCCAACTGCTCCTGGTTCAGGGGAAGGGTCTTCCTGGCCATCATCCCTCCCGCTGCTCCCAGTCCACAGGAAAGGGCTTTTGGGTCACCATCCCTACTGCTGCTCCCGGCCACTGTGTCATCTCTCCCAGCTCAGAGGAGGTAATCCGTGTAGGCGCTAACAGCCCCCTGCCCCAGTCAAAATGAGAAAACACATAAATAAGTCTCAAAACCAGACTTCCAGATC